AAAGAGTCTTTTATCAGCCTTTAAGTACAGGTTTTAACAAGAATACCTTTTCATAATAAGCATTCAAATAAGGGAAAGAAAGATACATCCCAAATTAGAAACGATCAGAGTAGTAGTTACGCTGTGAACTTTTAAACTTCATTAATTTTAATTAAAATTTGGAAGGCTCATTGGTTAAACTGTAATTGTACACAAGTATTAAAGTCCCTTTAACACGCAAAAAGTTTATAATAATTACATCCTGAAACAAAGTTTGCAGTAAATTTTGAGCAACTTCTTACAGAATACTTAAGTCTACAGTGACAGTCTCGCCTAATGAGTGTCCTCCAGTTTTCAGAGGTGAAATTTTAAAAAGCAAACAAATAAACCCTTAGCAAGATTTTATATTAGATCCTAGACTCTGCCTCTAGAAGTCAGTTCAAATTTGATATTAAAATGATATAAGAAAAAAAGATTACTCCTATTTATTCCACCACTCCAAATAACAATAATAACAATTTAGTGGGGAGAATCAAGAATAATATAAGATTTCATTTAGGATGTCTTGGTATGCCAGATAAGAGGATGAGTATTAAAAAATGTCACCTCTACAATTTGACAGAGCAAATGAGTAGTACTCTTGTTAGAATGGACTGTGATGGTAGATTTCAGAAGAGAACTAAACATTATATAACTAGATTTATTAAGAACTATATAGGAAAAAAACTCTCATTTCTTCTTATATTCTATCAGTACTTCAGGCCACTAAATGTGTGGGTTTTTTTCTCCACACTAAGCAACTCTGCAATTCTCTGTGGACACCAATTCGGTGTCCTATAATTCAATTCCATACTAACAGTATCTACCTGAAGTTAGTGTCAGATCCCACAAGTTAAGGGCTCAGTTTTGTGAGACTGCACCCACTTCAAATGCCAATCACAAGTCCCAGGTTATCTCTTGTAGTTCTGACTGGCCATAAATTGGATGTTCCTACAATCCCCTCTTGGGGTTCGATAATTTACTAGGATGGCTCATGGAACTCAGGGGAACTGTTTGCTTACTAAAGTACCAATTTATTATGAAAGGATACAACCCAGAACAGCCAGATGGAAGAGATGCATAGGGAAAGGTATGTGGGGAGGGGTATGGAGCAGTCACGACCTCTTTCAGGCACCACCCTCTCAGCACTTCCATGTGTTCAGTGACCCCCACACTTCTGAAATTTTCATGGAGGCTTCATCACATAGGCATGATGGATTATCCATTTCTCTGGAGAATGAAGGTAGGACTGATAGTTCCAAGCTTCTAATCATGGCTTGGTCTTTCTGGTGACCAGTCCCCATCCAGGAGCCCACCCAGGGTCACCTCATTAGAACAAAACTAGTTCCTATCACCAAAGAAATTTCAAGGGATTTAGGAGCTCTGTGTCAGACACCTATCACTTAGAAAATTAAAGGATTTTAGGAGATCTGTATCAGGAACTAGGGTCAAAGGCCAAACATTAGCAGGGACTGGGACAGAGACCAATATGTATATATATTTCATATTATTTCCAAGGAGAGTAAAGAGAAATCATAGTAGAGTGGAGAACAAGCCACTAAGAACTAGAAAACTTGCGTTTGGGTCTCTACTTTCCCTTTGACTCCATCACATCTGCTAAAGAACTTACTCTCCCAGGACCCTTTACCTTCAACTCAGTAGGAACTGAACAAAATACCTTAGGTTTCTTCTAGCTCTACAAATGCTATAATCCTATGACTCTGAATGTACCTCTCTACAATTAAAGATTAAAAACTTGGCACAGAGGTACAATAAAAGCTCCAACAAGAGCTAGCAATAATGCCTTTTATGTGAATATGGAAAAATAACAATCTTGTCAACAGATTCCTATTGGGAAGCTGAGGTCCAAACTGACTACTTACTCCCCTACAGCAATTTTTAAATAAATAAACATTAGACTAACTAAACTAAGAACTAATACAAATAACAGACCTAAACAGATGTAATAATATCTGTTTAATAATGTTTAATATATCTGTAATAATAATGTAATCAACTATAATTGCCTTATTTTACAAAATATAGAAGAAAAGGAAAACAAAATGAGACATTACATAGAAGTATAAGTGCTTTAGTTGGTCTTCCCTATGAGAACAAAAAGTTATAAAAGTAAAAGGAAGGAAAAGAAGAAAGGAATCAACATTTACTGAACATCTATTAAGTGTAAAGCAATTAGAAATCTTATATTCATTACATTGTTTAATTCTCATCATGATACTTTCTAAGAGTTAGATATTATTCTCATTTTACAGATGAAGAAACTGAGACTTTGAGAATTAAGTAATTTGTCCAAAGTCACACAGAAAATAGACAAGTTGGGTTTCAGGCCTAAGTTTGTTCTTTCAACTATAATAACCTGCCTTAAAACATTTTTCATTATAGTCTAAATTAATAAGTCTAATTTATCAAAATTGCCCTGAGTAAAACCTTTCTCATCTTTCTAATATGCATTACCCTTTCCAAGATATGCTTTCTCAAACATAATTCTTCTGAATCAGAGAGCCGACATGGAATCCTAGCTGACGAGCTTGCAAGAGCTTCCGCACTCCAGCATATGGAATTCCCGTATTCGTTGGCTTTAATGAAATAAGATCTAAGAGTTATACCATCATTCCAAGATTCTGCTCTATATCTTGTCTAAATTTAGTTTAAGCTCCTTCTCCCTGTTTGATATTTGGTCGTGGAAAGAAAATAAAGTGAAAAAGAGAGAGAGAGAAGTGAGAGAGCGGGGAAGATTTATTTTTAAATAAAAACATATCCACTGCTAGTATAGACTATATGTCAATGTCATCACCTCACCTTGGAACACGCAGGGTCTTGCACTCCCTTTATTCTAACCTATAAGTCATAATGTTGCAAAGAAGACTTCCTTCAGATTTCCTGCAGAGAACCGAAAAACTTGCTACCACAACTCAGCACAGCTACTTCTCTACACACTTCACCAAGCATAGAACCACAATTTCCAAGGAAGCTGTTATTTTAGACTGCATTTAGTAAAACCATAAATATATCACTTACTGATTTGGTTAAGTGAGAGACTGGAGGTAAAGTTGACAACGGTGTTACTGTAGCTTCAGGTGTTGTAAAAGGAGGTGCATTTGGTTGTGAAATTACAGGACCAGGAATCTTCACCCAGTAGGTTTTATACTTCTGAACAACCGTGACTCTGAAATAAGCACCAGGGAGATTAGACAGAATCCTGACTGCGGCCCATCATAATCGAATCAAACCTCTAGAAGGAAAAAAAGAAGGAATGATGTAGGGACACTTGACTTAATAGCACCTAACAGTGCTACTAATTATGTCTGAGGCAAGTCTCTGGAGACTCTTCCACACCATCGCTAAGTGAACTATCGCACTCGCACACACGCCTCCACTCTCACTGTCTCTCTCTCTTCTTTTCTCTTACTTATCTGTTTTGGGGCATTTTCATAATGTCAAACCCAGAGACTAAACTGCACAGATTTCTACTCTCTGACATATAAAGAATATACTACTACTCATTTTATAGTGCTCTGTTAAAAGGGCATAAGACATCCAAATTTCAGGACTGCTTTTTTTTTTAATATTCTCATACCAAGACAAGAACAAATCTAGAAAATCATTACCCCATACACCCTATAGATTAAATATTAATTGATGATTCTTATTAGTGTGAAGGCTATAATATAATACTTCATTCACTCAATAAATGTCTGTTAAGTACCTTTTAGGTGCCAGGTCTTGTGTTAGGTGCTGAGTATAGAATGGTAGAAAAAATAAACAAAGCAAGCAGAACAACTGCTTACATTACTAAGGTGGTATTACTATACCGAACTTCTCTTATATGGGTGCATGTCCAAAAGGGGTAAAAAACTACTTACACAGGGTGAGGAAAAATATTGCGTAGATGATAGAGGCTCTGTTCATCCCTCTGGCAACCAAATCAAAGTTGTGACAGAAATAAGGAGCAAGCAGCAAGGAAAAATCGCCTGGGATCTAGATGGACAAACCATACAACTAAGGAGAAATCCAAGAAAGCACCTTGCGAAGGCAAAAGGTAGGACAGGGCGAGGACATGGAGCTGCCCGGTCCCAAGCGGCTGAGTGAGACTGAGGTGGCGGCAGCGGCAGCGGCAGAAGCCCCTTAAAGGGGCCGCATCTGCCACCGAACTTTCACAGTGACAGACCTACTTGTTCTGAGCACCAGCACCGGGCTGGCTGCTCAGGGGCACCAGGGACTTACAGGGGAACACTGAGTTGTCAGAGTGAGGGCTAAGGTGAGACTCACTCTGTACAGAAGTGCTGGTGGTGTCCACCGTTCCTCTGTTGAGCCCTCCCCCATCCCAGTGTGTAGACACAGCGCCGCCATAGCTGTGATGTCATCAAACTGGATAACAGAGGTCACTCCACCCGGAGGATTCCTTGAAACTCCACCTACCCCAACTCAGGGCCCCAGCCAAGCCACATCCAGGTGTGTCCTCTCTTAGTCAGGTGTCGTTTGCTGAGCAGTGCTTAGATTCACACTGGAGGCAGCTGGCCTCAGTTTCTGGTGTGGCTTTTTGAGGCAACTATAAGCACAGCATTTGTGGATTGTTTGCTGAATCTCAACAGGTGGCCCCGGAGGGGCCGAGGCTTGGGCTAAGTTTGGCCTGCAGCTGAACCCCTCTCCAGTCTGTGCCACTGGACACCTACCACACAAAGCCACACTAATAAGACTGGGAGACTTAAGAGCTTTGCTTAGTACATAGAAACACACATGGAAAGGCAGCCAAAATGGAAAGACAAAGAAGCAGAAACCATATGAGAGAACATAACAGAGATCCAGATATAACGGAGTCAAGCAATCTAACAGATGCAGAGTTCAAAACACTGGTTATAAAGTTGCTCAGTGAACCTAGGGGAAGTATAGATAAACTCAGTGAGAACTTTAATAAAGAGATTTAAAAAAACATAAAAATAGAAATGGAAATTATAAAAGTGAACCAGTCAGAAATGAAGAACACATTATCTGAAATAAAGAGTATATTAGAGAGAATCAACACAGTAGATGAAGAAGAGGATTGAACCTCCAATCCTTGGGAAGCCAAGGACACCCAATCAGAATGGCAAGAAAGAAGAAGCCAAGACTATGACAATTTAAGGAGCCTATGAGACACTTTTAAAGGTAAAAATATCCATGTCATGGGGTACCTGAAGGAAAACAAGATGTTGAACAGCTATTTGAAGAAATAATGTTGGAAAACTTTCCTAACCTGGTGAAGGAAATAGACTAACAACTCTGGGAAGCTCAGAGAATCTCAAAAACCAAGAACTCAAAGAGGCCCACACCAAGACACATCATAATTAAAATGCCAAGGGTTAAATACAAAGAGAATCTTAAAAGCAGCAAGAGAAAAGCAGTTAGTTACCTACAATAGAGCACCCATAAGACTGGCAGCTGATTTCTCAAAAGAAACTGTGCAGGACAGAAAGAGCTTCTCAGAGAAAAATAAGCTAAAGGAATTTATCATCACCAAGCCAGGAAATGTTGGAGGGACTTCTTTAAAAAGAAAAAACATGTATCAAAAACAAGAATAAAGAATAGTAATAACTGCTTTCCTATCCACAAGTATCTCAAATGGAAAAGAATTAAGTGCTCCAACCAAAAGATAGAGTGGCTGAATGAATAAGAAAACAAGACCCCTACATATGCTGCCTACGAGAGACTCACTTCAGATAAAACACATACACAGACTAAAAGGAAGGGAATGGAAAAAGATATTGCCTTGATTGACCTATAGGGTATTGCACTGAATGAAATGGGTTGGATAGAGAAAGACAAATATCGCATGATTTCACATACATGTGGAATCTAAAGAACAAAATCAACAACAACAACAAAAGCAGAAATAAACTCATAGTTACAGAGAATATTTAAAGGGATACTAAATGGGAGGGGGGTAGGTGGGACAAAAAAAGGCAAAGAGATGTACAAAATGGATAGTTGCAGAATAGACATGGAAATGTAGAGTATAGCATGGGGAAGATGGTTAATAATGTTGTAATAAATATGTAAGGGGGAAGAGGGGTATTATATTTAGTGGAGTGATCACTTTGAGAGTTATGTGGATCTCTGATCACTATGCTATACAACTGAAACTGGTATATTATTGTATCTCAATATAATTGAAAAAAACTCATTGAATTGTACAATGTAAATGCAAGCAACTAATTGTCTATTATATTTCAATAAAGACAAAAAAATTATACAGACCATTACTGTTTTAATTATAAGTTACAACACTGTTAGCTCTTCTTTTTACTCACAGAAACCGTATGTGATTGGGGGCATCGTTTGGAGCTTTCCAGTACACTTTAATTTCTGTTTTTTTGTGTGGATTTGTGTGACTCACAGCTGATCCCTGAAATAAAATGGGAAAGAACTATTATTTAGTCACTCAGTAGCTCAGCATGGCTGGAACTACTATCATTTTGCAAAGCAATTTATTATCGCATGACCTTGGCATTCTGGTAAAGATTATTTTCTTTAGAACAGGGACTCACATACTTAATAAATGTATGTTGACTGGTTGATACCAGATTAGCAGCTAACTCTATGAATTAATTTAAATTAGAATCAGCAGAAACTGAAGACCTCAAGAGCGTTATGAATACTGGGTATTTTAATGCTACATAGACCTGCTCATCATTTCGCTTATACCATAAATTTATATTCCTTCCATTAATAGATGTAAATAGTATGCAGAAGATTCATCAAAAGAAAGAAATTCCTGCCTCCAAATATGTAGCATTGTACATCAGTCATTCCTTTCTCTTGATCAATCTTATTTCCCACTTTCATTCACTTGGCGAATTTCTACTCATTCTTTGTGGCTCGGCTTTGTGATCATCTCCTCCAAGAAGCTCTCTCTCAATTCCCTCCAGCCTGTGTGTGGCAGCCCCTCTATGCTTTCCACCCATCCTGTGCATGCTTCTAATCTAAGTCATCAGACTATTCTACTCATGTGTCTGTCCTATATCCATATGTTCTACCTGTGTGCCATATATCACATGTCCACATGTTTTATTTATGTGTAAGGGTATAATCACTTCAAGAAACAGAGTAGGTCTTGTTCATTACCATATCCCTGTACACAGGATAGTTCTTGATATAGCAAATGTTTATTGAATGAATGAATGAATGAATGAAAAAATTAGATTTCTGTCCCACTCTAGAACTCTATTTTCAATATTTACACCCTTCAAAATCAATATGCGTCAATATTATATAAAATATCAAAAGCTAAAAACTCTTCAAGCTCTTATCCTACCTTTCTTAAGATGCTGATATATAAAAATATATAATTTCCAGTAGTAAAATTAGGGGAAAGTTGGATCATTGTGAATCTATTCAGATGTCCATAGATAATATTGTTGTTTATCTTGCAAACACCACCCTGTAGTGAAGACCCATGGAAACTGACAGAAATCAGTTTCAAACTAAACACAAACCTGTATATCATCACAAGTCAGAAGCTGTGACACTCGACTGTCAATCAATTTGAAGAAGCCAATAGGAGGGCCACTCAGAGCATTAGCATCACGTGCTTCTAAGAGAAAGCCTTTAAATTCTGGCCCTGACAAAGTAACTAAGAAACAGACAAAAAGATAAGTTAAGAGATTTAGCGACATGCCAAAAGGAAACTTTAGAGGAGGCACAGAGTTAGAATCAGGTGTTCGTATACAAAACTACCCCAGGAGAGAAAACAGTAGAAATCATCCTACAGACATGGCTCTAAACTGTGTTCATAGGACATCTGCTCCATGGGATGGCGATAACCATTCCACCAGGGGTGTGGCGGAGGGGTGGGCGGGGGGAAAGGTAGTTAGGTAATGATCGGGGGGTAGTCCATTGGGCCAAATTAGTTTGGAAAATGATGGATGAGAAGTAATTACTTGTTTCTTTACTGCAAATCCCTCAGGACCTTTAACATCCTACTGTGCAGTATAAAACTCTGAAAGGTATATTATATATAACATACAGAGTATGTTTTTCATATACTCTTTTTGTTAGAGTATCTATTAATATTTTGCATTTCTAGAGTTGCAGAAAATAAGAATTTGTAAAATGCTACTATACATACACCTTTGTCGACCTACATTTTGTCAGGAAAGCATAAGAGATTACACTGTATTGAAAAAGGTAAGGGTATATTATATCTTAAACCAGATAAAATAAACTTTATTTTCCTTTTCTATTGAGTTAATAGTGTTGTTAATGAAGATATACTAAACAATGATTAAAAAAACATTTTAAATCCTGTTCTGCATGGGGGATGGATATGCTACTTAAGTAACATAGTCATTTGTAGTAAACGCAAAAATGGGAACTATAATATAATGGCATCTTATCAAAATAGGTGAAGATTTTTAACTGAAATTGTATAACTCTAATAATAATTTTAAAAATCAATTTACAGTAAAAGAATAAAATTCAAAACGTAAGCAGTTAACCACAGCACAGTACCTTTGATCTGATCTCCTGAGGTGAATGTCATCTGACTCACTGAAATGTTGTGAATCGGATCAGAGCGTGGAATGTGACCATGTTCAGGAATCATTTCATGGCAAGATGCCGTTACTCTTCCGTCGGGATAATTAGCCACAGAACTAATGTGTGACAGAAGTATGAAGGCACCAAGAGGAAATCCAGAAACTGCCATCTCAAAAAGAAGATTCAAAGCACATTATTTTCAGATATAATTAAAATAAAACATAAAAGTTTTCATACCACAAGACAATAATTCTAGAAAACCACTTGCTTTCAAATAATCAGCTAACTATATTCTCAAAAATATATAATAAAAAGAATGTGATATGTGAAGTTTGGCCTGGATTTGAATCTCAGCTCTATCAATTAGCAATTGTGAGATTTTAAGCAAATCTCCTTAAGCCCCCACATCTTTGCTTTAAAAATGAGGAAACTAAGACCTCCTTTCAAAGTCGTTTTATAAAATGAAGATACAGCTGAAAGTCTGACAAGATAACAAATATTAGTTTTCATTAGTATAATTAGGAAATAATAAACTAGTCCAATAAAAACAAAAGATTGTATTCCACTTCATCCTAGAAAGCTTAAAGAACAAATAAGAGATGTTTTTACTGAATCTAAATAACTTCACCTGAATAAGTCTCTGATATGACTTCTCCTAACTTCCTATTAAATTAATCCGGATGACAATGTGGATAAACTAATTTGCAACACTGAAAACCGAGGTTAACAGACAACCAATTGCAAGAGATAAAATTTACATAACCTATAACCCAGACACTTCTGAATTAAGAAAGCATGATTGTCAGCTCAAGCAATTTTCTTCCTCTCATCCAGGTTATCTGCCTCTTACCATGTGCCTAATGGGAAACCAGCTACTTTATGTCAGTCTCACCCTCTTCTAGTCCACAACCACCACTTCATTTCATGCATAAGCTCAAAACCTGCAAATCGTAGTATAAAACAAGGCTAGAGGTAAATGGGCAAGGACATGCTACACGGCAGTAAATAAAACAAGCACTGTAGACAGGCTGCTGATAGGAAAAGACCAAGAAGCAAGCAGCTCATTCTCCATAGAAATGGGGGTTTCCTGTGTGATAGATCTGGTGATGGACAAGATAAAAGCATCCTTATAATCACTAAAATAAATTATCCTCTTATGTCATATAAATTACAAACAAATCCTGACATTGTCGCAGAGCTAAACTACAGGAATTCCCACATAACTCTAGAAATTGTGCCGAGGGTACACACTTTAACCAGCCCTGCACCTCACACCAGGAGCTACACCAAGTAGACAGCGCAGGGTCCAACGGTACTGTATCCCTTTTTTTTTTTAACAAACACCAAAGCCAGAATTTTTCCCATCTAAGGATAAGCAAGAGGAACCAATGAAAAAGTCAAGCACTTTCAAAATATATATATATATATAGCATAAGAGAAGCACATAGACTCTGAGAAAAAGCATAATTTTAAAAATGGTTAATTACTATAGGAAACAGTACTTAAAGAAATAACTGCTAAAGAGTGAAGCCGTAGGAGGATTTTCTAACAAACATAGCTTCCCAGTCCTTTTGTAGACCTGGTTTTAGGACCAGGCAAGATTTAGTCACTGTAATGAAAATAGAGAACATCAAAGTCATAGTTTTAACCATGTGACAGTGACCAGGTTATTATGAAGATTAAATGCAGTAATGTGCCACTCATTTAAAGATGATACAGTAGGAAGAGTTAGTTCAGTTTAACAAATACTTATTTGGCACTGACTTCCTGTCAGGTGAGAGTGGGAACAAGACTTGATGTCTAGTCCCTGCTGAGCACTAAGGAGCTGATTAACACCAAGTCACTCAATCTCTGTCTCTGTTTCTTCATTTGCAAAATAGAGCAGGCCTACCTTTCAACCCTAACACTGTGATATTAGGAAAGCAAAGTGAAAGGCGTATTGGAAATTATTAGAGAACAAAATATAAGAAAGGAAAGGGAAGTGACTAAGACTTCACCACCTGTCATTCACTAGACACATATTACAAACAAGGTCAGAGAGGGAGGTAAACAATAGCAATTTCTTTGTTCTTGGTCGGATGCTGACTATCCAAGGTGAAGTTCTATTTTCATTACAGTGACTGATGATGATTTTGCAGTTGATGATTTCAGGAACAACCTTATTCCAAACTAATACATTAATTCATTAGCCAATTTATGCCAACAGTTTGCATAGCTATGAAAGAGAATAAGGAGTTATTCATGGAAACATTTAAACTAAAATTATAGAACATGGATAATGAGCTATGAGTTACAAGGTCATCCTTCAAGCACTGGAAAAAAACTCTCACCGATTTCCTATGACTTTTACAAGTTTCTATATTCACATTTTACCATGGGTACAAATATAGAGAATAGAACAAAGGACATTGTAATTTGCATTCTGTCATCCCAGGGCAAATATAGACCTACTGGTTCAAAAAATTAAGAGAGGTTATCCTGATTCTCTCAATGAAATATTCCCACATATGATGAAATTTATAGTTTTATTTCTTGCCTAAAAAACAGGCACTTAGTAAAAATGTATAATGACTGCTTATACCGTGTTCTATATACATCTCACACAAAGACTTAAAACAAATGTATTCTTTATTTTTTAAATAAAAAATCCTTGTACTTGGATGAATATGTAAGTATTGTTGTGATTATAGACCACAGAGGCAAGTGTTACTCAAGACAGTATATTCATTACTGCAAAGTAAAACTCAAATAAAATGAGAAGAATACAACTGAAAAATATTTAGATGTAAGAAAAAGCAGGATGTGTTAAGGAATTTTTAAATAAACTGGCCATTAAATGTCTTTTTTATTGTGGAACTCTAAGAACAGGTGAGAAAAATATAAAAGGAGGGAAAGCACAGCTTTAAAACCATATCAGATGAGTAAGCTAGCAAATAACTAATCGAATCTAGTTATATTGCATTAAAGCTGTAGCTCTTACTGCTAGTCATTTATTTTAAATTAAGGCATCAAAGAAGTTCTAAAGTTTACATACAACAAAAAATTGCGAGAACTCTGCCCAGTAACACCCACTCCATATCACCCAAGATGTGAGCGTAAGCGCACACTGAGTCTTAATTGATGCATAGCTATGAGGTAACAAGATTTTCTTAATATGAAGAATGAGCCACAAAAAGAGCAAAAACTTAACAAAAGAGATCACTATAAAATATCTACATAATTTGGAAAAGGATGTCTTTTGCTATATGTAGTGGGTTTATTTAATTTTTTTATCACACCCAAAGTAAGAAATATTTTTACATTATGACCCAACAAACACTTCAAGAAATATCATTTACCTCTACATGCTTGATAAACTCATGTATTTTCTATTTCTTCCTTTTTTTTAATGCTGGTTACATCCTACTGAATTGTCATTTCACAACTTACCAAAAGATCTTAATCTGCAGTTTAAAAAACATTACCTTACAGCAGCAGTCCTCAATCCTTTTGGCACCAGGGACCAGTGCCCCTATGAGAATCTAACGCCTGATGATCTGAGGTGGGGCTGAGGCGGTGATGCTAGCGCTGGGGAGCAGCTGCAAATATAGATAGCATTGGGAAGCAGCTGCAAACACAGATGAAGCTCCAGCTACTCACCTCCTGTGTGGCCTGGTTCCTAACAGACCACGCCCCAGTACAGGTCTGCGGCCTGGGGGCTGGGGACCCCTGCTTTATAGCATATATAGACCTTTAAGTTTCAGCTTTGAGTTAAGTTCTAAATTAGGAGGAGCGAAATTTCAGTAAAAAAGGAGAGTTCTCAGAACTAAAGAAGAAACAAACAAGCTAAGCAACAGGGAGGCTTTTGGAGATAGACGGTGGATTTAACAAATGGAAAATGTCTTATTCTTTCTTATTCCATCTGTGGGCCTAAACAAAACCTATTAATTTGACAAATAAATTAGTATTTTCATAGTGACCTTCTATATGAGAAAAAAAATTTTTATTAACCATAATATAAAAACACTGCAATTCCTAAAACACCTGAATGTCCTTTTCAAAATTTCCATCTACTACATTCTACAAACAATGCTTAAGGTAAATAATTACTTCTTACTGAATACTGTTTTCATTTTATTTTATTACTAGAATTACAATGGCATTATTTTCTTTTACTTTGTTACAAGTATAGAATATTTCAATTAATTTATGAGTTAAACATGCTTTTGCTTCTAGGCTTTTGGTCTAGAAATGGAACCACCATTTATAATATTGCTTCTATTGTGAAGAATAGAGTGAAAAGTAAAATGAAGTCACTATAATCAAGCTGCTAAATTATTAAAATCAAGTAGGTTGAGATATGAAGATATAATTCTATTCTTGTTTTAGCGAGCCTGGGAACTTAAACTGTTGAATTTTCCAGTCCTGCATCAATGCCCAAATATACATCAAACCTTCTGATCACCCCTAAAGAACTAATGAAAGAATGTGTAACTGTACGCGAACTTCCTTTCTTTAATGTCTTTTTTTTGTTTTCTGATTCAAGCTGGATTTGCCCAGATAATGGCACTGTGACTCACTTGCTTTTTTCAACCCTTCTCCTCTGTGTGCCTGCTCCTTCAATCATTAAGCTTTAGGACATAAGATTAACTGAGCCTCAGGTCTATAACCATGAGAATAATAAGTTTTGGTTGAACTTTAGACTAAGGATAACATCTTGGCTTTAGATGTGTTTCAACGTCCGGCCCGAGGCACAAGAATTCCACTGGCCAAAGAGCCATAGCTGATTCCAGAAAGGTACACAATAATCAATTACCTTATCCCTCTCCAGTCATCCAATCAGTAGCACCCATGACCTCAACTCCCTTAGTTTCTATGATTACTGATTTCTCCCTATATAATCTATACTCCCAAGACACCTGGGGAGCCAGGTGGTTGAGAGCAATAGTTCACCTGTATCTCTGGAACTTGCAACTCTCTAAATAAGTTTTACTTTTTTTTTGCTGCAAAACTTGCACGTGTCTCTTCTTTGGCTTAGGTATACATAGGCAAATGGACCCCTTTTTTGTCCCATTAACAAATGTTCACATATCTAGACCACCTGGCTTCTATTATCCAGACACCCAGTCATCCCAAGGATTATCATCTCAGCCCAATCCAGAGGCTAAGAATGCAGGACTGATTCTTCTCAAGAATGTACTTGTTACTATAAGAACCCTCAGCTTTTCTTTCTTCTTAAGAACACTCTGGGTATTGCCTAGTTGTGTTTATGGTTTGCAAACTCTAAGACCCTTAAATAAATATTTATAATTTATTTTTAACTGAAGACTCCTTCATGTACATTCAGTAAACAAATAGAAAATAAAAATTGAAATTCCAAGTTGAACTAGAAATGTATTTTTGGACAGCACATTTGTACGGTCAGCTTTTCAACTAAAATCTGAGGCAAATCTGGTGGGCTTTGCACTATAATCGGTATAATCAGAGGGACAGGTTAGAGGTGGAAATAGGTATTTACACACAGAGTAGCAAAATTAGGCAAAAAGAGTTTTAGAAAAATAGATAGAACCATAGAAGTATAAAGAGATTGATAAAGTCAAAAAAGTTAAGGCTAAACACAAAAGATATTCGGAAAGCAATAAAATTTCTATGACAAAAAGAATTACAGTTTTACTATAGAGTGGGAAAGTAGGGGGACATAATGTGGAGAAAAAGGAAAAGAAACAAACATTTGGTGAGAATCTGGTAGGTATTACATCTAATGTAATCCTTACAAGCAGATGTTACCTTCAGTTTAGAAATGAAGCTGAGGCCAGGGAATATACACTGATAGGTATATACTTTTAGGATTAGAACTTAGATCTAACACCAAAATTCATGTTCTTTTCACTCGACATCATTGCTCCCTTCTTGGAGAAAGAAGGATGTACAACATAAACAAGTCCAGCAAGGATCCAAATTTCATAATAAACTATGTGAGTGGGGGCATACTGTGAAGAGTTGAAATCTAAATTAGCCTAATTCAGAATGTTGAGTCCACTCTACAAGTCTGATAAGCAATGTAGAGATTTCTTTCACAGAACTGCTGAAAGAATGGGTGTAAAAACAACTAGTTCAATGTCTAAAAACACTAAGCTGTCAATAAATGGTAATTACCATTATTTATTATCACTACTAACTTTCCATATCACCAGTATGTGCTAATTTCATCTAAACACTATTGTGGTTGGACTAAGATTTTTATATATTTCTTTCATCTTCACTTAATTTGTTCTGAAATATTTCAGAAAATCTGCTCCCCTTCTTTCTAGTGAGTTAACTTTACTTTCCTAGAAAACTCCCACATCAAGAATTAGATTGACTTTGGTAGGTGAATCTCTAATTATAGAGAAATTGAAAAATAGGTCAGCATTTCCACTTGCCCGGATAAAAATGTTTCAGACTCCATTTTCGCAACAGGAAGCACAGGGAAATAACATTTTTTTAAATTGACAATTGAATTGTTGGGGCACAAAAATAATTTTCCTTATACCTTTTTAAGTTCTTCTAGCTAGACTAATAATCAAATTAACATGAGACATTAGCAGGAGAAAAACAAATTAAACCTCTTGTATATATGGGAGAGACCTAGGAACTCTCCAAAATTGAAAACCATCTCCTTAGGTACCACTTTCAGCTAAAGACAAAAGATGTTTTGGGTGGAGAGTCAGTTACGGGAGGTTACCAGGGAAAGCACCATAGATAAGGGTAAGATGGCTATGCAGATTTAGTCCCTGCCTTCTCCATCAATAGTGAAAGCAGACCTGGTACAGCGAAGGAGACACCTTTACAAATGGAGATGACCCTTATAAATGTAAAAGTCCTTTTATGAAAGGTGACATCAGCTTGATTTTCAGAGATTCTACCACGTCTGCTGTTTCTTACTGTTTCTGTTTGTTTTTGTCTTAATAAAGAAAACTTCTACCCCTCCTCTAAGGTCCAGTTAAAATACCATGAACTATTATTGTGTTCTATGAGACAGTGAACAATATGGACTTTGAAGCCACATAGACTTGGATTGAACCCAGCAGTCCCACCTTACCTTGGATAAATTATTTAACCTCACTAGGCCTTCGTTTTCTAGTTTTGTTAGAGACAATGCAACCAATATAAAGAGCTTTTGTGAAGATTAAATAACATCTATGAAACATCTAGCACAGTGCCCACCACAAAACAGGTCTTCCATTAAAATTGACTTAAAGTCTCGCCTAATTTCACCAATCCGATGCAATCACTCACTTCGCAGGAAGTCCATAAGTTTTGCTTTTTGCTAATAAAAAAAAAAAAAACTTTATCATGTTTTTCTTCTACAATTGGTAACGTGTCTTATGGCAAACTCCTGGAGGCAGCAAATGCATCCTACTCATCGCTCTCCTTTCACACTGACAAGCAGACAAGGTTGAAAACAGCACTGATACAATGGGAACTCCAGAGAATCTGACACGTGAATGGACAGGTGCAAAGGTACAACTAGCCAAAAAAAAATAAACATATTGGCTCATTAAACAATTCAGAAGAACTCATCCCTTTAAACAAAACCATCCTTTAAAAAGTTTAGCTCATTGTTTCCAATGAACCAACAGGTCCCAGTTTTCGTCTCCCACCTCTGCATTATCCAAGTACAATACCCCCATTTTCCTACATTTTTAATTCAGAGGAAAAAGAAAATATCTGAACTGAAAAGTTTAGCTGTGTAAAGAAATAGTCCTGATAACTCATTTACAAATTGAAAAATCTCCAATGCCCCTTGGGCAGCATGACAAGATGCAAAAAAATTAAGGGCAGAGGTAACACCTCGTCACCCCAGAGCCTCTCTGAAAATATAAAAGCACATCAGTGATGTAGGGTGGTGGAAGCTGAAATTTCTAGATTAAGAGACACTTTAAAAACCAAGTAAGGCTCTAAGTAACCTTCGTATAGATAATTATGCTATCAAGTTTAAATATAAAAAGGAGTTCCCATAGTTTAAAATTAACACACACGCGCGCACACACACACACACACACACACGCGCACACACACTGTACGTGAATAAAGTTACCGCCTTTCAGGATCCCAAACTAGTCTCTGTATATAATCACCCTTTCCTTGGGATTAACGCTCATTAGTCAAAGTCACAGGACACATTACTAAGCCAGCTTATTAGAGACACTCATTAGCTCAATACAAACTCTAGAACATAGTTCGTTAATAAAGCATCCATCCTGCATCGCCAACGGCCCCCAGCCAGCACAGGCGCCTGCTCTCAGGGCTGTCACCTAGCTGGATTCAATTTTTAAACACTTTGCAAAAAACTCTCACATGAAGACAGAAGGAGACACTTACCTTGAGAAGCAAAGCTGCCTAGCCAACTTCCTGTTTTGTTAACAGCTTGTATCACATTTCAGCAGCTGGGTGGAGCCAATTTATCCAGTAACCAGAGGAAACTTTTCCCAAACTAGGCTGCGTAACTTGATTTGCAAGACCTGTACTCCTTTCTGGATTCCATTTCTGGGAATTAAGCCTTCTGTTTTATGCAAAGGAACATTTTTTGCTAACTGATTGTTGTTTCAACAAGAAAACAATGTTTTTGTCTTTAACTATAAAATCATTTGAAAATACATACCTGTGCTATATAATGCTAAGTAAAGACAAAGAAAATAATAACCTACTTATGGTTAGGTATGTTTGCCAAATTTAGCAAATTCACTAAATTTAAGATGCCTGATTAAATGTGAATTTCTGATAATCGACCGATCATTTTTTAGTATAAGCATTGTCTTATGCAATATTTGGCGCATATTTATACTAAAAAATGATTCATTGTTTTTCTGAAATGCAAATTTACCTCGAGCGTCCTTTATTTTATCTGGCAACCCTCTCTAGGAAATGACAGTAAATAGCAAATTGTTTCAATTACCTGCAAAGGTGTAAAAGAATGAGTGCCTAGAACTGAAACCTTTGAAAGTATGAATGACATAAAGAAAAAAAATTATTTTGCAAAATTTACCCTGCAATTTAGGAGTTTTGGTTTTGTTGTGGTTTTTTTTAAGCCTTTAATCTTCTTTTTTTAGAAGGTTTTTTTTGTGAAGAAGAAGGAGGAAGAGGAGGAGGAGGTGAAGAAGAAGAAAGAAAAAAAAAGAGGAAGAAGAAATAGGGCTAGGAAAGGAAAATGTATCTGAGAATATTAAACACTCCACTTCAGTCTATGACTAACGTGTACAGTCTGGAAAACAGACTGTTACACATGCCATGACTTGTGATTACTAGTTAACAATCAACACTAGTAAATTCTCTAAAACCATTTTAAAAGGAGATAAGAGAGGGAAAAGACACCATCGCTGTAATCTTTTTCCTTAAGAACTAATTACAATTAACAAGAGCCCCTCTCTACAGGATTTCAGAGAGAGGCTTTAAATAAAGATGACCCAGAGCAGATTTTCTACTCTGGCTTGGAACGGGAATAAATTAAAACTAAGTTAGTTGATCTTCAGTAATACTATGTAAAGCCTCACTCAGATGGTGGCACAGCTTTCTGCAGTTATAATTAGATCCTTTCCAGGATTAGCCCCCGGTGAGTGGACACTTCATATGCCAAAAGCATGATAAAAAGTCCATAAAACAAATAATTCTCAGAAGACGTTATCATGATCTTTCATCCCACAGCACTCTTCAATGCTGTATCATGGAAAGAACTGAATGGTGAAGATTTAGCCCTATCCAAAACCACCCTTTCCGGGCTTAAAGTCTCCAGTTATAATTCTCTTTATCACTCCCTACCAGGCTCTTTCTTCATCAGCTACTTGTAGGCTGTCACAGAGAAAACCAAGTTGATTAAAATGTTCAGTGGATCTTGGACTCTGAGAAGTTGGCACTACCCTCCGAGATCCCACTCTCTTGCCTCTACTGTCCTCAAACTTTGTTTTCAGGACCCCGTTGCAACTCAAACATTATTGCGAACCTCAAAGAGATTTTTGTTTATCTGGGTGGTATATATCGATATCTATTGTATTAAAATTTAAAACACGAGTATTTAAATATTTATTCACAAATTCATTTTAAATGACAATGAACTCATTACATGTTAACATAATATTTTTATGTTGCTTTTATGATTGTTTTCAAAACCAAAAATTTAGATTTAGTGAGAAAAGTAGCATTGTTTATATTTTTGCAAGTCTTTTTACTGCCCGGATTAGTATATGACAGCTGAATTTTCATATCTGCTTCCTTATTCAATCTGCTGCGATATCATATAATGCATGTAGCCACTGAAAAACTCAACTGTATATCCATGGGAGAATGAAACTGAATATGGAAAATAAAGTATAGCAAGAACAATAATTACCCTCTATTGAGCACCTTGACCAAGATACATGTATTATCTTATCTAAGTCTCGCAACGACTCAAAGTAGAATTGACATTATATGGCTGAGAATGCTAAGGACGTGTGTGGCTCAGTAAATGGCCCAAAATCAGGCGGAGAAGAGTGGCAGACGTGTTTCTAAGACAGACCTGCTAACTCTACTATACACAACGTCACTGTCAGGTGAGGTCTCATAGACCAAACTTATAAACTTTCCTTTTCCATTATACTCAAAATTTCCTAAAACATTACATTCAAGTAGAATATCTTGAATTGAGCAGATCCTGCTTCAACTCAAGAAATCCAAACCCTCCATTATCTGTTAAGTGCCTCTAGTTTCTCATCAACCTAATTAGCCATCATACATTCTATCATATTAATCTTTCTAAAGTATAACTTACATCATGTAATTCTCCTGCTCAAAAAAATCTTCGCTTACTTGCTGCTTATTACTGAATGAATGTCCAGATTCCATAGACAGATGGTCAAATGAAATAATATCTGCAAAGCACAGCACATGGCACAAAAATAAGTATTTAATAAATGTTTTTTCTTTAGTTAAAAGAAAAAAAAACATTTTAATGATGGCTCTGTAAATTAATGGCCCCATCTTTCCAGTGCAATAAATAATAAATTGTTCCAAAATCATCCATAGACTTCTGACCAAACTCTACTCACTAAATTCATATTTTACATGTTCTCTGACATTACAGCATCATTCTCAGCATTAGATTCCTGGGAGCTACGTTCTTCACATTTTTTTCACTCACCAGTTCAAGGTCATTTCACATTATGCTCCCCTAAACACAGCCTATTCCTTAAATTACTCTACATAATGTGACTTCTCTATAATGACTGATCCTAAAATATATCTGCCCCTTTGCCCACACCCTTGGCCAGAGCTATCTGCATCTTCAGAAAAGTAACATTACTGAGATCCAGTTCTGACTTACCTAGATAAAATTAATCTCTTCAAAAATATTTTTATTTTCGCGTTTTGTTTTGTTTTGTTTTGTTTCACTATAAAACCATTTGGAAATGATCTGAAGTCATTTACTCCAGTGTAAATACACAGCTCTTTGCTGGAATAGGACATTGCCTTCTCTGAATTTTCAAGCGAGATATCCCTTTGTGTGGCACACTATTCTACTCGTTGCAGAATGTATAAACGTTCCTGACCCCAGCTTTTAAATACCAGAAGTCCTTCTCTCTCAATTCATGGTGATAAATCAAAAAAAAAAAAAAAAATACAATGACACATTTCCAAAGTTGTGCAGGAAGCAGAAATAGAAATAACGCCTCAATCCACTGTATAAGGGTGTGATTAGATAAACGATTCTGGGTCCCAGTAGAATGAAGTATTTTGCTTTCAAGAAAAATATCAAAAGGAAAAAGACCTAGAGTACTACCCCTTTCAAGTAAAGAATAGTACTGCTTCTTCAAGTTGACAGATAAGCTCAAGAGAAGCTTAGCTTAAAATGACTATGAAAAAGCAAAGGAGTGTAATGAAAAGAGCACTAGATTATCCTGGGCGAATCATTTATTCTTTCTTGGTTTGTTACCTCAAGGGAAAAATGAAAGGTTACAACCAGAACTACAGATTCTCTAAGGTCTTGTGCCAAATTCTGAATGCAGGATTCTGACAGCCAAGAAGAAACACACAATGGGCCAGAAAAAAAGCTTATACTTTTAGAGTGAGAGGTTACTTTTAAAAAAAAAGTATCACAGTTATTCAACAAATATTGTGTCAAGCACCTACTATATGGCAAATATTGTGCTAGGTACTAACTTATATTTATAAGAAAAAAGTGGCTCTGTATGTACTCTCGTATGTTGTGATATCTTAGATGGATGATAGGGAGAGAGAGAGAGAGGGAGAGACAGAGAGACAGAGAGACAGAGAGAGGGAAAGAAACTCAATTACCTGATAAATTCATTATGCCTGTAGACACACAGTTCTCCTTGCTTTCCAGACATCTGTGCTGAGTTCACTCTTTGTCCAATACCCAATATTGTATGGTTTATGAAGATGAGTTCGGTTTGTGCTTGTATAAGTACATCTACTCTTAAAATTTCAACTATCTCCTTGATGTTAATAAACATCTAGCATATTAGTAAATTCAAGTCTTGTTTTTCCTAAGTGCTTCCAAGATAACTGAACATTGCACCATTCAAAAACTCAGCTCACTATATTTTCTTCTCCGTCAACACTTTCATTAGGCTGAATAATGCGCCCCCCGCCCCGCCCCGCGAAAGATATTTACATTCAAATCCCTAGAACGAAGGTTACTTCACATGGCAAAAAAGGCCAGGGGGTGAGGGGGCAGAGGGGCTTTGCAGATGTCATTAAGTTAAGGATCTTGAGATAGAGTGATTACCTGGATTATCCAGGTGTGCCCTAACTAAAATCAGAAGTGTCCTTAAAAGAGAATAGAAGAGAAATGACACACAAAAGAAGAGGAAAAGATAATGTGACCGTGGAGGCAGAGATTGGATTGATACAGCTGCCACCAGAAGCTGGAAGAGACGAGGAACAGCTTCCCTAGAGCCTCTGGAGGGAGTGTGTGTGGTTCTGCCAACACCTTGATTTTGGTCCAGTGATACCAATTTTGGACTTTTGGTCTCCAGAACTGTGAGAGAATAAATTTCCATTGTTTTAACCACCAAGTTTGTGGTATTTTGTTACAGCAGCCACAGGAAACTGATCAACTTCCCTTCCCAATTTCTCTTTCATGTTTATCCATCGGTGGAACCCGTTCTCCTCAACAGTCAAGCTAAAGCTAGAGATGACTTTCAACTTTTTTGTCTCTTGCATATCTGACAGCTCAGAGTTTTTCACCTTAGAACCACGACTCATTTATTAGTGGATTATAAAAAATTTTAATGAAATAAAATTAAAAATATTAGAGTGCATTACATATGATAAGGGTAGTAGTAAATGCTGTTTTATAAGTTTATTCTAATTATATCTGTGAGTAGATATGTCCTTGTTTGTGAGGTAAAATGTATTTCTTACTATGAGGAACAGCCCAAATGTTGAAACAAAC